TTAATTAAAACACATTAAAAATACATCTCTTTTTTAACAAATTACACAATTATAATCGTCTCGTCAATATCTTGACTCTTGATCTGAAGGTTAAACATTTTGACAATAACACAATAGAGAGGGATGAATACAATGCTTCCAAATGTTTAATAACTGTATTAAAAACTATGACCTTTACAAAATAGAAGATTGTTGTGGAAATAAACCATGAACTAGTAATCAACAACCTATAACAATCTCTCGCACACACTTGACAGATGTATTTGTTGATCTAAACCTTCTCGGTGATATGATGAACCATTTACTTGGTGATTAAAATATTTAAGTTCAATTTCAGTAAACTTCAAGGACTGAATCTGTTTAGTGATGACTGAGCATTTATGTAATTAATTGCTTAAAACTTAAGTCCCCTTTAAGACAAACTCACATCAAAGAAAATTCAGCAATGTTGAAGAAGTAGCTTAAGAAAAAGATAGATTATACATGATCAGAAGTGACATTCATTGATTCTAAGCTATCTGAAGAAATTTAAACTTTACTCAAGTTATCATCAATATCTGAAGACTCCCTCAGCAACCACTTCCTTGCTGGATTGATATCTTATGTATCAAGTTGTTTGTCTTATCCTCTCTTGCACAAGTCAAAACCACATGTGTCATTCTAATAGAAGGTACAAAATGGTTTACTTTATCGCTCTCTTCATGCTTACCAACTCCCAGAAGCACTATTAATATACGGCCAAAAGTCAAAACATCATGCTTCATTCTTATAGAAGGTATAAAATGGTTTACTTTATTATTCCCTTCATGCTTGCCAACTCTCATAAGCACTGTTGATATGCGGCCAAAGTCTGCTTTGCCCTAGACAAGAACTATGTACAAATCACTTCCCTCATGACATGCAGACTATATATATCGAATGCATTAACTGCATAGGGTATAAATAGCTGAGAAGACTTCCCTTATTACTATCGTTCTTCTTCTTACCTTGGCTATCGTCTTCTCACTTATCTTTTTGTAATATGTGCAAGAACCTTTGTGATTTATCTACTTTGATCTTTAGGGATTCCGTGTGCTCTAAGATTAAGATCAAGAGTATTTAGTTTAGGATTACTCTTTTTCTTCTTCCACAATAGTCTGTAAATTCAAATGTATTGATTCTTCTTTATAATCAATAAACGGGTTTAAAAAGTAAAAATAGTTGTGTTTGTATTCAACCCCCTCTTCCTTCTACAAACTGTTTGAGTCTTGTTTACCCTCTTGGGACCAACAGTATTCTCTCTTGATCAATCACTAAAACTTACTCAGTCAACTATAACAAGTATTCTATTAAGAAACGGAAGTTACAAAAAGACAATAGAAGATGAAATTTAAAAACTTTGAAAAATAACAAGATATTCTCTTTGAGCACTATTTTCTGCATACTGATCTTCAAGGTCTTCATTGGTATTTATAGGCAACATCCTCTACAAAGTAAAAATATCAGCATGAAGACAAATGGTAAGGAAGAAGTACATTTCATTGTTTGTTTCACCAATTTCATCTAGTTACTTGCATACCACACATGCATGAAATGTTATACATGTTTGAAGTCCTTACCTGGATGACTATTGAGGAGTAAAACACTTTTGTAGCAGGTATGATAGTGTACCTCTGTCCTTGTTGTCTTTGGTAGATATTTTATCAGCAATTACATCGTTAGATGTTGATCCTTCAGTTGTTGGACCTTCAAGTGTCGACATCTTCAATTGATGGTTCAGCCCATCTGTTAAGGGCATCATCAGTTGGTTAGGATCATCTGATGCTTGTATCTTAGGTTGAGTAAGTGTTAGGATTCCATATGATACCTCAAAACTTATCTATTAATGTGGAATAATCCGCTTCAGTTGTTAGTATCAACTCCTACCTTCATCTAGTAAAGGTGATCATTTTGCTTGGTTAATGATAAATATTTTACCATTTGATCACTATCATCGAAAATGCATCTAAATGCACATTCTTTCGAAACCAATTGGCTAAGTATTTATTACAAAGTTTGTCACTCCCCAATTCTTCTAATAGGATAGGGGTCAAAAATAATCTCCTATTTGATTATGACAAACCCTATGTATAAAAAATAAAACACTTAAAGGAGGTTTACTACACATAATGGAATTTGATGAAATTGAAATCCATCAGATGAATTTAACTTTGAAGTAATTGGAATAGAATCACAAAAAAAAATTGGAATCTGTATGTTTTGGGGAATTGGCATGGAGGTTGTAATGACGAAAATAGTGGTGTCGGGTTTAGGGGTGGTAGGTGGGTGGGGGTGTGATGCGGGGATAACCCGGGGGGTATTTCATAGGTGGACGTAGGGATGGGGTAGGGTGGGCGGGTGAGGGTCAATGGTTGGTGGCTTTGACGGCTGTGACGACGAACAATATTGGTGTGGTAGTTGTTAGTCTTGGAATGATAATGATTAGGACATGAAGTGTTCGTAGGAGGAGGTGAATAGAAACACAACAAATTTTCACTTTTCACTTTTGTGTGTTTATAAAAACAAAGAGTTACATATTTGTTTGTTGTGGAAGCTACGAAGGTAATATCTTATCCTAAACAATCTGGTCAGTGATATATTTGCTAAAAACTGAAAGAGTAATATAAGAAGGTACTCTTTCAGATAAGAAGAATTAAGATAGTGCTATAGATGTTGATGCCAGTTTTGCCTAAGAAACTATCACACAAAATTTCTTCTAACAATAGTGAGTGGCAACATTTGAGAAATGTTGCATTTTAGAGCCACCATTGCATTAAATGTTGTTATCCAAATTTAATGCTTGTCTTCATATGATTTGTTGGATAATGCATGCTTGTACTCTTCATTTCATTCTTTTGAGGTTAAAGTAGACATTTATTTAACACACCATCCTTCTATATCCAGAAGGAACAGTAATAAAATAGTAGTTTAAAACTTACTTAGATTGACATGCTTGACATTTTTCCATATTGGGACAAGAGTTGGTAGAGTTTGTGAGTTTAACTTGCTAGTTAAGTTTGCACTTAAAAATTGGCTCGCCTTAATATTTGTCAAAATATTTTTGAATTTATCTCGTACTGGTCTTCAATTGGCTAGATGACAATCCAATCCGCTTTAGTGACTATCTTGACTTCTGTTAGGACTGAAAATCAGTGATAAATTGTATTTGTCTTGAAAGTTAATTTTGTCTATAATTGTATTAAAAGTCATCGTGTTTGACTTTTCTTAGAATAGTTTGACTTTGACTTTGTCTTTGTCTAGATGTTTGACCTTATATAAAGGGTATTTTCTTTGTAATTTTGGCAGGAGCTCATATTGTAAATTCATAATACGTAAAGAAGGTTTGACCAACTTTAGAGTTTTGACTTTCTCTCTCAACCTTCATCTCTCTCATCAAAGTGTTCTTACAAGTATAATCAAATCTGCCGTTGTTGAAGAGTTTTCATGAAGATTGATTAAAGTGGGACTATCAACTTCGCTTTAACTAGTCTTCAATTTTCTTAGAGACATTTTTCTTTTGCACCAGTACTGATAATGATAAGACTTTCACAAAAGAAATCATATTCTAATTATTCTCTTCAAAACATAAGCTATATTTCGGATTCCAGCAAGACTATAAAACATTCAAATATTAAAACGATTTGTAGGATCAAAACATGATTCAAATTTGGTACTAAATGTCTATTAAGGACAAATCTGATAAACATATCTGGATTTGCATCCTAATCTGAATTTTGGAGCAATTTAAATTTTGATTGTAATCTACGTCAAGCAATCAGAGCTTAAGACATAAATACAAAAATGTTTCGAAGTGTTGGATCGGATGTATCTGAGTTATTATCAAATCTAATGGTTAGAAACCAACAAGCTCCCTTATTTGTTAATAACTAATTGTGTACCCACGCAATGCTGCGGGATGTCAAATTTTATTGAGGATCAGAAAACATATCAAACATCTCAATATATCTCCCTCAAAATCAAGGTCTAAGTGTATAAGATGTAAATTAATGTGAGCCTTAACGTCATTGTTGTCATACTTGAACTTAACAAAAAAGGATAAGTTATAGCCTCGAAACAAGATAAAGAGTATCTAAGTAGAGCTCCACAAATTTGGAAAACTCAATGGGTAGAAATGTGCATACACATAAGCAGCAAAAAAAAAAAAAAAATTCTATATTAAAGATATAAATACAATGGTCTCGTCTTAAACCAGAAGAGCAGAAGCAAAAATAAGCATCTACATTGTTCATTTCATTTATTTTCCCTTGTTTTCTTTTCTTTCACACAAACGCTACTAATTTATCAATCTATTGTATTGGGTTAGCTTTTTATTTAACCAATTGTTATACCGATTTATATTACATCGCTAAAAAAAGCATGGATACATCATAATTAATTTACCATTAATAATCCAGATTTTACCATATATCATATAAAAAAAGAATTGTAACACTCTATATGTGCGGCTGGCACAAATAAATAAGGTTGGTGTCAATGTCCATTTATATTTCTCCTTAGTCCTAGCTACATCACATAGCCGAACCAATCCACCGCATCCAGAATTACATTCAAACAACATTTTAAAAATTACAATATTAATTACATTATTGAAATATTTCATATATTTAATAAAATATTATTTAAAATTTAATTTATAATAAATAAAATGGGAATATTTTTAAGTAGTTATTTAAAACTTTAAAATTTTTACACTTTATTTCCTATGTTTCCATTTTCAAGACAAAAAGAACAGTTGGAGATGCTCCAAGAAGAAAAATTCTATGTTTTTGCAAAAGGGGCATAATCTCATTCAATATAATGGTGAACAAGAAATGAACATAACTAGCTCATTGCAGGATAAAGAACCGTTTTTGCATAATTTGAAACCATTATCATAATCAAGTACTCAACTACAAAAATTGCATATCCAAATTCAGACCAAAATATCCTCTTCTCTATCACAAAAATGTCATCTTCATTTGTTTCAACTTCAAGATATTATAGGAAAAGGTGGGGGAAAAAACAACTCTCTTCAGGCACCAATAACTTCTGTTTCTTCAGCTATCGGCTCGTCTGCACGCCATTCCATTTCCATTTCCATTTTCACACCAACATCTTGAGAGTAATCTCCATGAACCTACATATCATCGTAAGAAACATTTAGGAATAATAACCATATCAATCAAGATCAAAAAAACAATCGATACAAAATGACAATCACATCAATCAAGATCGACAACGATAGATACATGACATTGGTGCAATCACCATGATCAAATTGCATAGCTTTTACACGCATTTTTATATGTGATAGCTAAAAATCATAAACCCTCTTACCTCCATCAATTTTCCTAGGTCGAGCTTGGGAGCCTTCAAAATTTTAACTTTGTGGATGAAAACATTCTGCAACGGGTAAATGCTAGATGTTGCCTTCTCAATCTCTCTGCCAATTGATTCAGGTTTTAACTTCTGGACCAACTCCTTCAGATCACAAGATTGGGCCTGGCTGACCATGAAATTTTTTTTATCATAATAAGCCCCAGTGTTAGGCGGCTACTGCATCTTTTGCATGGAACATAGATAGTTAGTTAATAGCCTTGGAAGATTTCTGCACAAATTGCGCGACAGTAGCATCGCTATAAAAGATGCATAATTATCCTGACTGTCTCCCTGTATCCATTTTGCTAATTAAAACAATTTATTAACTTGCTTTCTCAGGTAGCATTCAGCAGCATACATGCTGAATAAAGTTATAGAAAGGAACATCTTGATCAGAATTAAGGGACTGTTTACCAACTCTTAGGGACACTTACCGGAGTAAGGGCTTACCAAGTCACATTACCTCATCGGATGAATATGGTAAGGACTAAGAATCTTACCCGATAAGAGCGAGACAAGAACCATGAGTCTTACCCGGTAAGTGAGGGCGACGACTCTTACCACGGTAAGCGCTTATCAGATGCATATAATGTCATTTTGATGGACTAAAATCTTACACAATAAGTAAATAATAGTGTTAAATGTTACCGGTAAGCACTTACCGGGTAAGGGGCCGTTTACCAAACACTTACCCGGTAAGTGTTTACCGGTAAAATTTAACACTATTACTTACGGCCCCTAAGTCAACCATGCACAAAAAGAAGAATTCTTGACTTGAAATAAGATACTAACTACCAAAGCAATAAAGATGAGACCAACGAATCTTCAGAGTACACCAAAATTCTGACATAACCCTAACATGATACTCATAGAAGAAATGCAAATAGTGCAAAATACCTACACCATACTTGCAGGCCCGTCTGGACGAATGTATAAACAGGGCCCATTGCAAGAAACAAGAATTTTAGTAACCACTTTTGTTGTCGCTAAAAAGTTCATTTATCATCAGAAAGTGTATATAACAGCATATCGTCCTATAACTTGTGGCGGAAACATGTCATCGCTAAAAAGCACATCGTCAAAGCTCACTTTTCTTGTAGTGACGCTTGGTAAGTATGAAAAAAAATTCACTAAATGTTTTTCATTAGTATAAAATTGAGTACAAGAAATGCTAATAATTTACTGAGGAAAGAAATCTTATTTATTTTTAATATAGATATATAAGAGAGTACTTAAATTTACGTACTTCTTATTAGGTAATTTGTAACCAAGAGTATAGAAACTATAGAGATAAGTTTTTATAAAAAGTAAGAATTTTTTTAGTTCATAACAAGAAATATATGTTATTTTGATACAAAAGATAATCATGTGAATGTAGTAATTGTGAGAGTCAATGAAAGATCAATAATAAAGAAGATTATCAATGTTTTTAGACAAGTAGACAAATGATGATCAATAAGAATATGAAAGAAAAGATGATTTATTGAGATCCAATAAGAATAAATAATGCATTAAACATATAATATGCAAACTTAACAAATGATTGTTTGAACACTTAAATAGAATATTGTGTTATGGTGGAATCTTAATGAAAGATACATAAGTCAAACAATTGATAAAAATATTTAAATTCTATTTTTTCTTCTTTTTTTGCTCAACTAAAATAAGATGTTAAGATTATAAGTTTATGGAACATGGCATACATAAGAGATATTACTTTACACATCTAGTAGAAAAAATTTATTGATTAATTACAAAACTATGAAACACGTTATAAATTATAAGAACAATAGATTGATTGTAAACAATAGTAAAATATTTTATGTAAAAGCAAAAATTGATAACAATAGTCAACAAAAACAATTAGAACAACATAACCAAACAACATTAGCCAATAGAAGTAGAAATTGATAAAAATATTCAGCAAAAATATATAGTAATAGCAAACACATGATCTTAATGTTGAATTATTGAAGTACGAAAACAGTCAAGCATATAGAGATATCAATAACCAATATCATTGGACCTTGTTGAAGATAAAAAAAAGTTAGAGAGACAATAAACAATAACATATAATGAATAACCAATTAATTAATTTTATTTTCTTCTTCAGTGTAATTAGTTGATATATTTTTAGGCTCTTATTATCTACTAAATTCTTTTTGTCTCTTGTTATATGCTACAATCTTTTGAGTTTTTTTAATTTATTAAATTCTTTTAGACTATCATTGTTTTTAAGGGAAAATTTTGGGCCCCTGATATTTTTGGACCCTAGACGTGCGCCCGTGCCGCCCTCCCCCAGGGACGGCCCTGCATACTTGGATATATGAGTCATTCATGGATGATGCCTTGTGTTTTTCTGAATTGAAGGAACCATTGCAAATATAACTTGTTTTCAGGAGATGATTGAATTTTTTGGTTGCTTGTTGTATTATTCAAGTGATCGTTATTGAAAGATCCTTCATCTTTCACAATTCATACAGTTACAATTTGCAGATGTCACTGTTTTTAGCTGTAGGGACACAAAGTCCAAGAGAAGAAAAGGATGCTAACATTGATAGTTCATATATCAACCGAATGGTTCATATAATCATATGTGTGTCTTGTTGTATGTATATTTTCAAGAAAAAAGTTTTTCCCTTCCGTATCCAGATTCCTGCTACTATGATTTTATCTTTCAGTCTTTTCCTGTTACTATGATTTGGCAATTGTTTAGAATGAAATTAGGGGCGCTAAATGGTTCGAGGAAGCCCGAGATAAAAAATCGTTCAGAGTTTTAGTACCATTAAAAAGCATACCCGTTTTTAGTCAAACAATATGACCCCTTAGCGATTCAAAGACTACCTCTTAATGAAACTATTAAGAGATAAACAAACAGCCCCTAGTTCTTATTTAGTGGTAAAAAAGAATTTTTTCCACAATAAAGTTCCAAAATTTCTTATTTTACCCATTTTAACCGGTAATATGTTGATCTTGTAGCATCTTATGGCATGCCCATTTACAAAAAGTTTACAAAAGGGTCACGACAATGTGGACCAAAAACTTTACATTTACATCACCAAAATTTAACAGATCATATCAAAATGGGTAAAAGAAAAAACTTTGAAAATTTGTTACATGAAATAGTATAATCATTCAATCCTAACATGAATCTTTATGTCATCCCAATTAAAAAAATCATATGTATCATTCAGTCCCAACATATTTCTTCATGACAATAATGCAGGACTTTATGAAAATCTATCTTCAAATCTACTTGTAGTAGACAGTCAAAGTAAAATTTAAGGTAAAAGAAATAACCAGATCCATGAAACCTCTGGAAAGCATTTCATCAGCTTCATCCAACACAAACATCTTGATGTAATCAGCACGAAGTGACTGCCTCATGAGCATGTCAAAGACACGACCAGAAGTACCAACGACAACATAGACACCAGCCGAGAGGATACGCAGGTCTTCACGAAAGCTGGTTCCACCAACACAAGCATGGACCTTCACACCAAGATAGTCCCCAAGTGCTCGCATAACTTTTTCAATTTGCAGTGCAAGTTCACGGGTAGGTTTTTCAAAACCTGCATTTAAAAGAAAAATGTCATATCTGTTAAAGAATGATTCTAACAATTAGTATAGATTCTAGATGACTCTCTAGCCTTGAGTTTGTTTTTGCAAAAATTCACAAGACAATTGGTCGGGTATATCTTACACCTTTTTGACTAAAGAATTGGGCCACAAAGCAAGTATACAATATGACTCAATATCGTCTTTTCAAGTAATAAAGTGGTACAAGTACCGGATTATCGTCCACGGGGATTGTAGCAAAAGTTAAATAAGAGTCCAGTGAAAGAAAAGATTTCAGAAGATGAAAATGAAGACTTCAGGTTGATTCTGAGTTAACAAAGATAATATAACAGAATAATAAAGGTAGCACGGGGTAATACTTGGGGTGAAACGTAAACACAAAATCCAGCAGACAATGCTGTAGAAGAACTAGTTCCACCATTTATCTTGAAGGTATTCCTCTCGAACTTCACCTTTGCAATATATTATAGCTTTCCACCCATATCTCTATTTGGTATTCAGACTAGGGATAGTGACAAATGGTGTCTTCAAAATATATGGCTAAACAAATCTCTTTGTTAAAAATTACTCTTTCGAGCCGATTCCCATATCATCCAAGTTGGTGTGTTCAAGATAGTTCATCTTTGAATCTATCACACTTTGACACTTTTAGAGAGTGATCAACCCATCGGGAGTTAAGTTTGAAAAACATAAATGACAAGTCTCTTTGTCGGTAACTTTCTCAAGTCTATCTCTCATATCATTCAAGCTGACGTGCTTATCAATGACTTATCTCTAAGTCCATGGAAGTTTAATACTTTCAAAGTGATCAACTCGTCAAGAAGTGTGCTTGGTTTTATAGAACTTGAATGAAATAGTGGAACATTGTTATTGCGAAACAATGTCCACTTTCATTCGRTTTAACATTTCACCCTTTACCCTACACCCGAGCTAATGGAATTATCTACTCATTACGGAAAGTAAATGACATAAATAAATGACATAAAGTAAAAACATGAATGTAAATGACTGAATATAAATGACAGAAAGTAAAGGATGATAAAAGTAAATAAATAACTGACAATGCTACAACACCTCAAGACGAAGAACAATATTTAAAGAAAAACTTAAAAGCTTGCATAAACATAAAGCTACTAAAAGCTTGAGAGTGTTTGAGGAACAAAAGATAAAAGATCAGATGGTTTGACAAGAGGCACCCAAGGTCCCCTTTTATACACACAAACATAGACTAAAAGACAAAAACATTGGAAAGGGAAATGTTCATCATTATGGTACCAAAAAAGAGACATCAACTCAATCACCAAAGGTCATCCAAAAAGTCTTCCAAAGTCCTATTCACCAGTTGTTTGAGGGCAAAAACTGACGGTTCTTCAAGCTAAGATTTCGTTCCTTGACCATGGTTGAACTATTAAGCACTTCTCCAAAAAGCCGCACCGGATCGGGCCAATGCTGCTGGAATGTCGCAGCATCATAGTGCAGTATTTGTAAGTTAAAGATGTCATCTACTCCCAAATTGTTGTAAAAACAAGTCCATCACAACATTAAGCTCCAAACAT